TTTTTCTAAACGTTTGTTTTAAGTAGTGAGATCCGAGTAAGTTTGTATTTTGAGTTTATTTTTTTTTATACACATCAAAAAACAAATCGCAATTTTAAGAGGCATACTCTGCGCAAAATGGCTTTGATTTTTAATTTTTGACGTTTAATGGCTTCGAGTATTGTGATAAGTTTGTTTTCGAAATTTTTCATTTGAGTGACAATTTTGTTTTCATGTTTCTTTGGCTTTGTATAACTTTCTAGAGTTTGCTGAAAATAAAATAGGGCTTAAACAGTCTTTAAGTTTTTTGGGCAACATGGATTAAGCTCATCTGTTCGTTTCAATTTTTTTTCGCATTTTCTAAAATAAAAGCAAAAAGTAATGCTAATAGTGGAAAGAGATAGAAATATGAAAAAAACTGATGCAGACAGAGTTTTTGCGAGACGTTTTTGATGAAAAATTTAAAAAATGAAGTTTGATTAATAAGTTTTTCTATCAACTTCATAGGTGACATTTAGGTATTATCCAGATCAACATCTTGCAACATTCATCACTTAATGCAGTTTTTTTAAAAGCTCAAATGATGTTTTTTATATAAATTTTTTCATATATAAAAATTTTGTATCTTTAAATGCTGGCTTCTTTATCTCGCCATGTTTAAGTTTTTTCAACGTATTAAATTTGCTTGTTTAACAAAAGATTTTTTTCACGTTTAAGCTATATCGTGTATTGCAAAAGTTAAAGTTTTGTAATCAATTTTTCGGCTTGATTTCAGCGTTCATTTTACCAAGCCTGAAATTAACAACCCAATGATAGGATGCTGTTAGGGCTTCCCCAGGTGTTGCGATTTGGGCCTCCATAAAGGGGCGGATCTAGGATTTTTTCGAGGGGGGGGCGGATTTTCAAAAAATTTTCGAAAATTTTGACGACCTTTTTTTTTTAGGTCGACCAAATTGATTTTCTGAGCTCTTCTAAAGCACTAAAAGGTCCCTGTTTCTGCCAAATTTGCTGCGCCGCAGGCATATTTTTGAAAAAACAGGTCAAAAAAGCCTTTTTTTGGCGCGCGCTCCCCCTGAAAGTTAGTATATATTGGCGCCAAAGGCCCCCTTAGGAAATTTTTAGGGTCGGTCAGCAAAAAATGGATTTTTAAAAAAGTACCAAAGGGGGACCTTTTGGGTCGGCAGGGGGTCGAATCCCTGAGGGGAGCGCGTACGCCCCCCCCCCCCCCCCCCTTAAATCCGCCCCTGCCTCCATATATGAGTAACCAATTCTTTTTTAGTTTACGAGATACGGCCATTTTCGAGATTTTTCAAAAGTTTCTAGAAAACGTAACAAAATATGAAATTTTCAACTCTGTAGTTGGGTGCTGTCAGGGTACTCTCAGGGGTTGGGAATCTTTCCTCCAAATCTCACTTCTCAAATCCTTGCAGTTTTTGAGATATGACGTTTTTTATGACTTTTTCAAAAAATTTGATATAAAAAACACTCATTTATTTTTCGAAGATCTCAATCCTGTAAGGAAAATGTGAGGTTACTCTCAGGGGTTGCGAATCTTGCCTCTGAATATGAGTGCTCAAATACTTGTAGTTTTGGAGAAATGACGTTTTTCAGGATTTTTTCTAAGTTTTTCAAAGAACTTAGATACAGAAAAATTCACAAAATTTGAAATTCTCATCTCTATGCTAAGGCTCTATCAGGGTACTAACAGGAGTTGTGCATTTTTCCTCCAAATTGACAGCTCAAATCCTTGTATTTTTCGAGATTTTTTGTGATGACGATTTTTGTGATTTTTTCCTATTTGAAATTCCTATTTCTGTATTGAGGACAGTCAGAGTAATCTCAGTGTCTCAGGGATTGTGTACTTTTCCTCCAACTATGACTGCTCCAATCCTTTTAGTTTTCGAGATATGAAGTGTTTTATGATTTTTTTAATTTTTCAGAAAACTTGGATTTTTTCAAAAATTTAAATGGTTTGAATTTCTCAACTTTGTAGTTGAGTACTGTGAGGGTTCCCTCAGGAGTTTCATGTTGGAGTGTTGCGTCCCAATGTGACTGCTCTAATGCTTTTTGTTTCCGAGATGTGACGATTGTAATGCTTTTCTTAATTGCTCAAAGAACTTAGATTTAAAAAATTTTCTTATGTTTTCATCTCTGGTGATGCTTTATCAGGGCGCTCCAGGGGATGCGAGTTTTTTTATTTAAATATGACTGCTTGAATCCTTGTAGTTTCTGAGATATGACGTTTTTATGACTTTTTTCAAAAAAATTTTTAGAAAACCTAATTTTTTTTCAAAATTTGTGGAGTTCTTAACCCTGACTGCTCGAATGCTTTTTGTTTCCGAGATGTGACAATTGTACTGTTATTCTTAATCGGTCAAAGAACTTAGATTTAAAAGTTTTCTAATGTTTCCATCTCTGGTGATGCTTTATCACTAGAGATGCGAACCATCTCTAGAAAACGTAACTTCAAAAATTTCACCAAATATGAAATTCTCAACCCTGTAGTTGGAAGCTGTCAGGGAGTTGGGGCCTGCAGAGTACTCTGAGGAGTTGCGAAACTTGCCTCCAAATGTGAGTGCTCAATTTTTTGTAGTTTTGGGATATGACACTCTCCTTGGTTTTTTCAAAAATAAAATTAGAAAACTTCAATTTGAATATTCTTAAAATTTGAAGTTCCCGACCCTATAGTTGATTACTGTGAGTACTCTCAGAAGTTGCAAATCTTGCGTCCAAATGCGACTGCTCATTTGCTTTTAGTTTTCGAGATGTGACGTTTTTCTATCATCTTAAAAATTTTCAATGAATTGATATGAAAAAAAAATCACAAAATTGTATGGTTTTTAATTGTACCTAATTATGTAATATTTAATTTTTTTGAAAAATGTATCGCTATTTTTCACAATTTATTTATTTAGCGTTATCAAGCGTACTGTTGGTTCCCTGAAACCTATCTCTTTGATTTTTCCCATAAACACATCTCCACGAAAGCTCATTCTAATATCATAGTCGCTTTTTTACATGCGTTTCATTTGGAGCATTTGCCGATTTCAGTGTGACAAATGGTTCAAAGGTATTCGAAAAGTTGATTCAAATCAAAAAGAAAATGCGAAACTTTCTGCGTGCGAAACTTTCTGCCGTTATTTGCTCGTGTTTGTGTTTTTTTTTGCTGTTTGTTAATTGGCGACATGATTACCCTTGTGATTAGCACGGGTATTGCAAGCGGGTTCTAGACTTTTTTCCTGTAAATAACTTAGTTCACAAAATGGTCAAATGGTAATCAGTATGTTTTATAACCGATGCATCGCTAGTGTACCACTGCATGGTTTATTAATAGCATGGCTACTGTATTTTCCCTGTGCTTAAGTTAGTAGTTGCCTATTTTGATTTTTTAAATTGTATTTCGAAAATTTTAATATTTGTAGATCGGCACAAGGTCATTCGGCTTTCATTCTGTCGACCTATTTTCCTATTGTTTTTGTTCTATTTGGTTGGTTTTATATTGATTGAGTTCTAACAAGAAATTATTGAAAAATTTTGGCCATCCTCTTAAATCCTTCGTAATACAAATAAAAAACTAAACATAAAAAATTTTCAATTTTTTGTGAGAAAAAAATTTAAATTTTTTCTAAATAAATTTTCGGCTTTTTATTTCGTTTATTTTGAAGGTTTCGAATTGAATCAACCAGCACATATGTTGTAGAAGTAAGCTATATTAAATATGCCTAAAGCGTGTGGTTCGAATCCAGTCGGAACCTGTTTTTTTTTAATTAGAAGTTTTCTTCTTTTTCGGGAAATCGTCCGCCGTTTTAATTTTTTGAAAGCCATTATTGGAAGGAATTGAGTTTAAAAAAATTTGCATTTTTTTGAAAATTTTTAATGGAGTTGTCACAAACAAAGTTATTTTTAAATACTGTTCATCGATTTTTTTTATTGTCGATTAATGAGCACGGCATTATTACGCATGCGCTTAGTTGTTATTCTCGCAATTAGCATTGTTACGTTGTTACCGCTACGTAATTTTTGTTCCGATGCAAACTTAATGTTCAATGGTCTTATTTGGCGTGTTATTTTTGTTAAAAATGATATTTATTCCAGACAAATTGATACCCAGATATAAAAAAATAATGGCATATTTAGGTTTTCTCGAGACTATAATTTTTTTCAAACTTTTGTAACTTAGCGGCTTTCATCTCAATTTCTGTCTACTTGTTTGGGCTATGTCTTTTTTGTATTTCAAGTTTTCTGCTTTATTGTCATCGACTTAAACTCTTTCGATTTAATTTCCGAATTAGATCTTGCATTAACTACTGATAAAGCACCGGTGGACAATATATAATCAGTACATGATAGTTGATTTTCAGCTTATTGGCTGTCGGCATTATTTTTTTATCGGCTTTTTACTCAAAATTTTTGTTTCCTACGAATTTCTGGTTTTACTTTGAAAATCGATAAGACTCTGGCTCTATATTTTCAAATGTTTGATTGCTCAAAATCAACCCCACAAGGTTGTCCTGAAAATTAAATAATTTTTATCATGAAAAAAAAGTTTTTTTTTCATTTTAAAATTTTTTGTTTTTCTAGTTCATTCTTCAGTTTTTCTTCGCTCGAAGTCTTCTTTGCTACTTCTTCTGCGTCTTTCTGGTTTAATAATATACTTGTTGTATCGCAAGTGGCGCGAAGCTCAGCGTCGCCTTTTTGTGTAATGTTAAAGCAAGCAGTTGTGACTTGGTCCATTGGAAAAGTCCGTTTGAATAATTTTGATGGCTCGATTATTGTTTCTGTAATCGGTAGATGTATTCTATCTAAAATTGCATTTCCTCCTGTGTTGATAACTTGAGTCTTGCGGAACCTTACGTCTATTTGTCTGTCTTTGACTTACTTCGCTATTTACTGCTTTTTTCCTACAACTAATTTTAAGTTCTTCGAAAAACAATTAAGTGCTTATGAACCGCAGATCTTGTAATAAGATTGTTAATCATGTTTTAAAAATCTGAGTTTTGACAAAGCTAAATTTTTAGATGTTTGAATGGTCAAAATCCAACAAAACACCAGGTTGCACTGATATGTATTGATAAATTCGAATGAATTCATTTTTGTCAACCTTACGCATCGTATACTTAAGCTTAACTCAGGTGCGATCAGTGCAAAAACGTAACGTACTTTCGTTTCAACTCGAACTGTGATAGCCTCGAGATTATTAATGCCAATTCATGAAAGCAACTCGTAGATATTAATTATATCACCCTGCTGCCTACTTAACAAAGTTCTCAATACATTTAAAATTTAGTGTATTGTCAACAAACTATTGAGCAAGGCTACAAAAAATTGTCATGTCATGCTGCGATTTAAGTCACAAAACTGCGATAGCTCTGTCATGTGGGCTGATTCTTTTCGTAGCGGAGGGAATAAATTACTCGTTAATGGCGCCATTTTTCCCAAATGAAGCCGAACGGAAGAAAGACATCTCGAAGTTTGTGGTCGGGGCGATTGTAGCGTCGAACGATGTCGCGAATATTGTGTTTTCAATTCTATTGCCACTTTGTGCCAAACCAGAACTCAATAAATTCTTCTTTGTTTCTGGAGCAATTATTGGAGCCACTGCCAACATATGTCTTGGGCTACTGGGCGACGGACCAGGTGAACACCATTTTGTTTTGAATGTTAAACCAAGAGGAGGATATTTGATCACATTTTTTCTTGGCCGATTGTTCACGGTTACATAATAACTAGTCATATGTATATTGAAAAGTTGTGAATAAACAAAACACCAATGCTGATGATGATGATGCTTAGGATTAATTGCAGACTATGTGCAGCTGCAGTCACCAAAATGCGACTAGATTTGGTATGTGTAACGACGAGTATGAGATCTTGATGTCTCGAATTTTTAGCTCTAAGTAAAAGGAAAATGTTTGTTCGTTTATTCATTTAAATAAGAGAAACTTACAATGAAAGCAGATCAGTTTTTAGGTAGCTATTGTTGATTTGCTCTTGATTAAGACCTTTTGTTATATTTTTTGTTCTTTTTTTGTTATTTTTTGTTGGTAGAATTGTAAGAATTTATTTTGCATCTAGAAAATGGAGATGGAAATTCCTCAGCTCTCAATCCATTCCTGGTTTGAATGCGAATCTTCAACTTGAGTACTCTTGAACAATTTTTACAAACAAGACTGCTCTTATATCAGGGCAAAACCTTGAGTGTTCCGACTGCCCCTTTACTAATCTCGAGATAAACTATAATTTTTGGACGGCTATTATATAAAAAAGGCTAATTTTGAGTCATGTGAAATTTAGTCTCAATTCAATTTACACCATTTATGAGGCGGGAGGTCATGCAGAAAAGTTTGGCTCATTTAACGTACTAAAATTGAATGAGCCGCTTTTAGGCTAGTGCAAACACACGCTTGATATCCTAAGATCCTTGGATTGATTATATTCGATGTCAACTTTCTTTGTAAAATGGTTGGTCTGAATAAAAAAACTATCCTGGGCAATTAGCTAACCAACTTTATCTGCCTCAAATAGTTGCTCTTTTAGAGATTTACAAATATGGGATAAGAATTATTGAAATTAAGAGTTGTTGAAGGCAATATGTTTGATCATATCCGCCGCCGCACTCCAAGAAAGTAATTTTTTCGTTGCTTGTCAAGTTATGTCGGTAACATCGAAGTGGTTGTTAGTTCATCAAATTATTTTTAAGTTGGAGAAACTTTAACTTTTTATTAGAAAGAAAGAACGAATTTATTGCTTCAGTTATATAAATATGAAAGATATGCAAACAACATAAACATTTTGCTAGACATAAGTGTTTTTGTTTCTATTAAAATAGACTACAAATGATGAGGATAGACTAAGGGTATTTTCATTGCCTGCTGAGAGTCTACCCAGCGCTTAAAAATACATGATAAAGTAATAATTAACAAAATACATTATAATTTTTGTTGAAGTAAATATGATAATTACAAAATCATTTAATATAAGCCCAAGTTCAATGAAATACTTTTAGTGATTTGATTTTCTATGTTCCAGATAGCATGAGAGAATGCCACATTTTTGAAGAGTTTTTAAAAGGAAACTTTTTCTGAAAAGTCATAAAATCGTTGGTCTCTCGAAAACTAGCAACATCCGAGAGATCAAGTTTTGGTCTGAATTTCAAGCATATATTAGTGGTCTGATAGCTTTTCAGCAGCCGTCTCAGGATCTTTTTTCTTTACAAAAAGAAAATTTTCTGAGTAGTCATTAAAACGTGGATCTCTCGAAATTTACCGAAGCTTAAGAGGTCAAATTGTAAGGCAAAATGATTATAATAAGGATCTGATTGCATCCATTCACTGAGATTGGATTGTTAAAACCCGGCAAGCGATTACTAACTTTGAAAAATAAAAGGGGGTAGTATCAATATTATCCGTAACATAGTTTTCTTTCCATTTTTGAACAACCGGCACTTTTTTGTCATAGACGAAAGATTCGGTGGTAGGAAAAGATTTTCACAAGTAGTTTTCTAAGGATCGAACCATTATTTTGCAAGCAACATGGTTTTGCTGATTTACGCGAAAAGTTTTCTTTATAGTATTCTGTTTGATCTTCTAGTTTACTATGGGTTTTTGAACAGCATAAACATGAAAATTAAAAGTTTTGTTGAATGCAAGTTTTCTCAGAACGCATGGAAAATTTTAGAAGGTCGTATACATACAGCTCATAAATCATTAACTTTTTTTTCAATAAAGTTTCCGGAAACGCTGTTAATATTGCGCTTTAAGTGAATCAAGACGGAAGTAATTGGGTTATTAAAATAGAAATAAGGGTGGAATATTTAGTGCATCCGTAAAACAGCAGACCTATTTGCATCCTAATTTTTTTTATAATTGTATCAATTGAATGAGTTTTTTAAAATGCCTTTGGTGCATAATGCTTCATTTTTGAAACAACAACTCTGTGCTTACCTATATTCGATAACTTCTGCATCCTGATCGGCAAATTTCAGTTTATTATGAACAGTTATTCGAAGGTGTGCATTTTTTTCTGGTGAAAATTACAAATTTTCTTCACAGAAGATGCGTTTAGATAAATTAATTAAGTGTTAAACATTTTGTATCGAATCGTTAGAACAGAAGACATGTCTCAAACTTTTTTAAAGTGGAATGACATCTTGAATATCGAATTTTATGATCAATTTAGCCGGATAGCGATTGGAGAAACGCTCACTACTTTAAGTTTTAAAATTTTGATTTGTCAAAGTGCGGAGAATACGCTGTTTAATATACGCTGGAGATTTTTCATTAACCGGTAGTTGGTTTTAGTTCCATCAGTTAAGATCCCTTAGCTGTACTTATATTCAAATAAAACTGCGCGAGCTTATTGCTGTTTTTATATCAGTTTTAAAATCTGCTAATTTATCGGAAGTCCGAATATAAATAGTTTTTCTAGTTTTATATCAAGTTTTTGTAAAAGTAATTTTGCCTACCCGTTGTCAAACGCTATTAATTATCAAGCGTTTTGGCTTCGTTAAAGTTTGATTGTGATAGCAATTCCGTGCTAAAGCTGGCTGGTTTCAAGCTCTTTATAAGGTTTTTTACCTTTGCGAGTCCAGCGCATGGCATTAGGAGGAACATTGAAAAGAAGGATTGAAAAGTATTTGCTTAAAATTGAAGCACCAGTTTTTATCATCAAGCTCAGGTTGGAGACTTTTCGAAAATACCATTGAAACCAGAGTTTTATTATCATTTAACGTGTAAGTAAGGAATTTACCTCTTTTATAACTTCGTCGACTCAATAAGTGTTCTATCGATTTTCCAGATAAAAAATATCATTTTTTTGGTCCAGGTCAATGAAAAGCACTCATCTGATCTCATGATGTTGATGAATATAGTTCTGGGCCTGCTGATATCTTCAAAAACTGTTAAAGGTTAAACTTATCTTGTTTAGCTAGTTTTCCTCATTATTTCGATTTTTGCGAAGCGTTCGGAAAAGATAACAATAATCGGTTGTCTAGCGGTTTGTTGGCCGGCAGTGAGTCATTGAAATGTCTTGTTCGCTGAAGTTGGCGATAAATATGTAATATGTCTTTCTGAATGTTTTTCCAGGGTTTCTGTTTTAGTGTTATTTTACGTTAACTCACTCATTCCAATGACTGTAAGGTGATCTATTCGATTGCAAGACTCCAAAAGCTCCGCTTTCAATTGTACTTTAGATAAGCCTTGGCCCATTTTCACAGTATTTAAGTTTTTTCTTTGATTCTCACTGGTGCCTCTTCGGTTAAATATTTTTTCAAGATCCTTCAGTTGCGTATTTAGCTGTTTAATTATTCAGTTCAGTTGTTTTTCTGATCTTTTAGGCGTTTTGTCGCCTCTATCGATCAGCTCATGATGTACTCCTTTTCGATTATTTCGTATAAATTTATTAATTCCGCTTTTCTTCCGATATTTGTCCAGGTTGTTCTTGAAAGCGTTGAAGGTCTTCGAGTCAATTACTTCTCCTTGCAACATATTCCAATCTGTAGCTGATATAATGGTAAAAAAGTTTTTCCACAATTCGAATTTGGCCTTCTTCGTTATCACTTTTTTGTCATTTTTCCTTGTGTCACGATTATTCCATTCGAACATGCCGTTTGTAGCTTTTGGGTCATAACAGTTGTAACCTAATTTGAACATTTCGATCATTATTCGAGGGATCGCGCTTTGCAGAGATCTACTAATAGTTTTCCTGATTTTGGCGGATATTGTTTCAATGATAGATAATCTTTCTTCGCATGAGCGTAGCACTGCGCACGATCTCTTGGTATTTGGACTTGCAATGAGCAAAGATCAAGGAATCTCATGGCATTACTTCAGGATCTTTGTCTTGTCTTGTGGTGTTCATATTTTCATCAGTCATCTTCATTTTCTATTTAATAAGTTTATCACAGCAAAAAGGCAAACAAACTATCACAACAATTAGGAAGATAACATGATTCGAACTATAAAGCATTTGTTAAAAATGCTAGAAAAACGAAAGATTTAATCATTTTTTTGCAGGACTTGGAGCATTTTTTGTTGCAGGAGGCCTATGAACTTTTTTCCCCTGTTGGAGGATTAGGAATATTGCATTATTAGAATACTTAGGGAATTGGCGGAAATTAGTGAAAAGTTTTAACTTCCTGTTTTTTTTTGCTGCAGGTGGCTATTGGTTCGCCTCCATGTGTTTCCTCTGTCGGACACTGACTGGAATCGGAGCTGGCTTGATCTGGTCAACTGGAATCCCCTTGTTAACTTCTTTGGCTCCCAAATACGCTGGCCGAGTCAGTTCTTTGGCCGAGTCAGGCGTTGGATTAGGCGTGACCATTGGTCCCCCCTTGGGCAGCCTTCTTTTTTCATTAGGGGGGTACAAGTATCCATTCATTAACTCGGGAGCAATCGAGTTATTCTTGACTATGTTTGTTATCTTTTCGCTTCCTGCTCCAACAGTGCAAAACAAAAGGACACAGATATATGACAGCGACGATGAAGCGTAAGCAGATATCTTTACCGTATGTGACAAGGACACGTGTTTGGGTTTTAAAGTGTAAAAGAACGAATCGACTTTCACCTATATAGGTCATGATGGTTTTCGTTTTTTTTTCTGAAGAAGCGTTAAAGTGCTTTCATACTAACAGAAGAGTTAAGAAGTGCTAATTTTCAGTAGTTCTTAAATTTCGAAGAGCTTCAATCTGATATATTTTTTTCGAAAACTTTTTTCGGTTTCCTTAATCTTTTAGACTCTTATTCATCCCTCTGTTCGCTGTTTTTTTAAACAATAAAAATGTATGTTGACTCTCAGTTTTTCAATCTCGTAGTTCTACTTTCGAAGTTCGGTTTTCCACTTCACTCATTGAAGGTCGAACAACTCTCGAAATCGTTTAGTGAAAGTAACTTTTTTTCACCTCTTCCTTTTAAAAAAGAATGCCGTCAAAATTGCAAACGGGATGTTAGAACTATGTTCATCGGTCTTTCTCAGTTGTTGAAGGAATACATTTAAAAAAAAGTATTATGTTTTTTGAATTTGACGTATCTTTCAGGTGATGATTTTTCGTCAAGTAAACGGACAAACAGAAAAGTTTTTTATGATACTGAGCTTTTCAATAGCTGACGGAGACGAGCTCGCTTTGCTCGATGTGTTTTAAAGTCCAATTTCTTTTTTTGATTGACCAATTGTAATCAGAGGCTTGCTCTCATGTGTGAAAAGATGGTTTTTCATCTTGTTTCATTTTTTTTCGAATTCTTCTTCAAAATTAAGAGTTCACCTGAAGTAAAAAAAATTTAGCTCTAACTTCTCGTGAACATCCTAGTGCTATTACTGCAGAAGTCATTTTTTTTATTCCTTTTTTAACTTATTCAATGAAGCACTATCATTTTGCAGTGTTGTTTTTAAGTGGTATCGCAAATGGTGCTCGGCTTCAGTGTAAAGGTTGATCACTCTCAGATTTGATTTTTCGCAGTTTGACTTTTGATTTTTGCATTTCATTTGTTCATTTCGTTTGGTAAAAGAAGGCGAACTCCACCAAGGTTGTTTTTGGTTATATTTAGTTACAGAAGAGTGAAATTTTGACTTTTTCAATTTTTTTTTAGCTTAATTTTCCAAAAAAATCGTCTTCTTTCGTGTCTTTTTCTCTTCACTATCTTGTACTGCGATGGTTTTGTTGCATCGCAAGTGTTGCGAAGCTCCGCTTCGCCTCTGTGTATTTAATGCGTCACGCACATTTTCTAGAAAAAGTTTGCCTTATGAACTTATGAATCAGGCTCAAAGCGAGGTGCAGGGGCCCGTCCCTTCCCTTTCCTTAATTTTGGTTGCCTATTTTTCACAAATGGTCGCATCTTTGGTACTTTTTAATGAAATTAATTTATAGAAAAAGCTGGCTGGAAAAAGCGCGCTTTTTAGTCAATACTTTTCAAAAAGTTCCCAAAAGAATTATTTTTGGCTACAGCACTTCGACTGCAGGAAGAAATTTGTGACTAAAAAGGGTGTTTTTTGTTTTGGAAGAGTTTTCTGAAATTTAATTTAGTCGATTTGAAAAAAAAATCGACTTGACAAGTTTTTTGAAAATCCTCTCCGTGGAGAAAATCCTAGATCCGCCTTGTTGAGTTAGTTAACTACTGTTGCGAAAAATTGTGTCTTATTTATTGTGCATCAATATTTTAGATTACTTACTTCGAAGCTTTGGGTTTAGAATCCTGCACGACTCAAATAACAGTGACGCCATGTCAACAGATGTTTCGCTACTTCAGCCGAACTCTAATAAAAATAACCGCAATCACACATCTAGCGCAGCAGCGACTAGTACTGTTCAAGCTGTTGTCTTTTTCATGTCTCAACCCGGAATTTGGGCATTCAGTTTCGTTATGCCCCTATTTGGGGTCCCCTTTGGACTGCTTGATGTTTCGATGTCGCCCTTTTTGAAGGATCATTTTGAGGTCGATGGAAATACGGCTGGACTGTACTTCTTGTCATTGGGCGCTCTCTACGCCGTTGCAGCTCAATTTGTCGGCTACGCAACCGATAAAGGTGAAGTTTTATAACAATAAAAAACTCACCTTTACGCAATTAAGGTCAGTTAGTACTTAGAGTTATTGTTGTTGTTAAGAAATTCGATTCGATATTCTTTCCACTTCTAAGTGAGGATCAGAAAGCTCTTTTTTCTCTCTCGCTAACCCCCCCAACCCCCGCCCCCCCCCCCCACCTTATACGAGCTTCAATTTTTTAGTGGAACGAGTGGTTTTATGAGGTTGATTATGAAGACCAAATATGTTTGTCGTGGCCTTATTAGTCTTCATATAAATTTTCTTAACAATCGGACTATGTGGTCAACAAATTTTACTTGAAACAATTTGCAGGTGGGGAGGAAAAGGAAAAAGAGCCGATCAGAGTTCTTTTTCATACTTATGTGTCCCGAATGCGACTACTGAGAGAGGAAAGGAATCGGTGTGAAAAATTGGTTTTGTTAAAGTAATTCAAATCTAAGAGTCATTTTCTCATTCATTTTAATGAACCTTTATTAGTTTTTTCTAAGCTAGCTGTTTTAGTCCTGTCTCAAAAAATGACATAATTTTCAAGGAAAACGATTTTTTTGTTCTTTTTTTAAGAAGAATAATTGCGATCGGAAACTTTGGCACAGCTCGCATAGAAATCGGCTTTTAGTTTCATCATGTGTAAGTCAAAACCAAAAATGAATAGACGGTAGCTGGCAATAATGACAGAATGTTCCGACGATTTTTTTCTTGCAATTTTCATAATTTGTTTTGCTTTTAAGAAGAAGTGACGGTGGTTGAGGTTGTGCTGATTGAAATTAAGGTTGCCGAAAGAAAAGCTAATCGCAAGATTAATAAAACAAAAAAATGAAATCATTGAGAAATCATTTTTTCGGACAAGGAGGATATAGATCGAACCATGAAAATCAATTTAGTCACTTGTAGTTCAGATGGTCATTTTTAGCTCTAGTAATATTGGAACAATTGTAGAACTTTGATTCGTGACCCCGACAGGGGTGCAACTATTTCTTCCTCACTTCACGCCAAAAAAGTTATCAAAACAAGAATTTTCAGCCGCTTTTCCTGGAATTTTCGTGCTTTTTGAAATTTTTATGACAACGAAACGAATCATGATTGAAAAGGTTTTAATAGAATTTTCAATTTTTATAAACTTTTTGAAATGTTCATGACAGCGGCTCACGATTGAAAGGGTTTTAATATGATTCATTATTCATCTTCGTATTACGTTCTCCTTGGCGCCTGATTTGATGTTGAAAAAATTTTGCACTCGATTTTCTTAATTAACAGTCGATGAACGTAGTGGACTTGCTCAAGCTCAAATTTGGTTTTGAGTAAAACCTATTAATCCATTTTTCTCAAATTCAGTTAATTTTTTATGAAGCGTTAATGATAAGTTTTTTCTGAAATTCAAAGAGCTTTAAGGACATTTAGTTTAAAACTTGCTATGTAATCGGTCACCAGAAATTTTTCCCGTGAACAACTTTACAAATTTTCATCACTTTTCCTACTGCTTTATCATTCAACTTTAACAACTGCTGGCTTAATTCTGGTTTACCTCTGCTGTTCGTTTGTAATTTTTTCACCTTGACATCGTATATATTTCTTTTTATTTTTTTTCGATTAAAAACTTTGCATTGCCCAAATGATTTCGGCCTATGTTTTATTGGCTTAGTGACCTATATTCAAGTCTTTTGAATGGAAACATATTTTTTATGCTCAGCTCTGGATTGCTCAAAATGCCAAACATCCTAATAGAAAGATAATCTTTTATCGCCTTTTTCCCTTTTGTTTCGGCTTGATAGGTTTTGGCCTATATTACATCGGCTCATCGGCCTCGTATTGCATACTTCGACAAGCGAAAAAGAGGGTTTTTGTGTGCGTGTCTGTGTATCGAGGGCGAGGGGGCTTAATAACTTCTTTTTTCATTTTTTTTTTTTTTTTCAATTTTTTCTCAATTTTTTTCAACTAACTTTTTTTCTATTTTCCTGTTTTTTTGGGCTTAGTAGGTTTCGTGCTATTTTATATCGGCTTACTTGCCTCATTTTGTTTGATTTGCCAAGCAAATTAAGTTTTTTGAGTGTTTTGAGGGCGAGGGGGACTTTTCATAAGTCTTAAATCTTGTTGAATTTTTTTTCGACTTGAAAGGTTTCTGCCAAGGTATTTGTTGCCACTTTGTAAATTATCTTCCGATTCTTCTAATTTCACAGTTTATTGTTTCGGCAAGTTTTTAATTCAAAACTAGCCTTATTCATTATGATAGATTAGTTTTTTCGACATTTTCGTTTTTTTTTCGATTTTCTTGTGTTGTATTGTGAAGCTCAGCTTGACCGCTGTGTAACATCTTGTCTTCCGAAAAGCTCGGTAAAAAAGCATAAGGAGACCTTCAATAATTGCTAAAAGCAGCGTTCTTCTGTTTTTAAAATTTTTTGAATGTAAAACCAACAATAGTAATGATATGAATGGTTAGATGGCAGTGATGAAAAATTATATTTCCTTCAAACTCAGCTTTTCAATTTTTATGTCTGATTGGTTTCTTTAACTATAGGCGCTCTCAATAAAAATCATTTCTTTTTCAGGGTTTGCGTGTTATACGTTTGTGTGGTGCTCGAGCCTTCTGGTTCCAGTGAACCTTATGTTCTATCTGCCTTCTATCTTCCCTTTCCTACTTCACAAGTACTACATAGTGGTCGTGCTGGCTTTCACTGGACTGTTTCTGTCCGGTGTGTTCGTGCCAGTCTTCTTCATACTGCATGAACTGGCTCTGTCTCTGGGGTTCCCCCCACAAAACAAGGACCAGCTCCAGTTGGTCATCGGAATCTGGATGAACTTCTTTTTGGCAGGTAATGTGTTGAAGTGGCATAGAGAAATGATGGAAAGTGGAAAAGCCAACAGTTTGCAATCGAAAGGCCGGAAGTTCGAGGCCCACCATTATCCGTGCTCATTCCTGTGCGGGTGCATGGTCTTAAATTACCGCATACAATTAGCGGTATGTTAGCGAACCTTAGAAGAAATCAATATGTGGTTATTGGTGGCATGGTTTTTATTTAAGCTGTTATAATGGCTATTGCGGTGACAGGGCGAAGAATTCCGTACAAAAGTATCACATACCTTTTTATCCCATATCATTTTTATCCCAATGGACAAATTTCAACGATTTTTTTTTTCAAATTAGTGTATTAGTTTCAAATTAGTCAGTTTGACATTTTTAAAGACAGTTAAAGATTTGGAGCTTTTTCTCTATCAAGGTTTCGTTGCTTGTCTTTAATAAATTGCATTTTTCTAAATAATATAGCGATATAAAACAAACAGCAATCTGTCGTTTTTAAACAAGTTTTGCAATTGAATTTTAGTATTCGGGCGTCCTTGAAACATAAATTCTCTCTGATACACTAGCTGTTGCAAGTAAAAAGTTTTGAAAGTATGTCATTTGATCTTTTTAATGAATTTTTTATCTTCCAACTTTTTGCCACTCTCTTTGAACTGTTTGCTGTTTCAGCTGGCAGAATTTTGGGATCTGTCTTGTTTGGCGGTATCATATACCCTCACTTCGGATTCGAAAAGTCTTTTCTGGCAGTGTTCGGCTATTCTCTGGTCGGCTCTCTGATCAGCAATGGTTACTTGGTGCTATCTGGAAACTATAGACGGATGTATTACGACATAGCTGTATTATTGGAGGAGGAAGAGAATTTAGACAGAGATTGAACTGTGGCATTGGTAGTTCAAGGTGTAATTCTGAAGTAATTTGTAAATAGATGGTATATCGTATTTCCTTCAGCCTCTCTTTTTTCTATTTACCCTAATTTTTCAAATTTATTTTTTGTGAACTTATTTTGTCTTGATATATTTGTTATCAAACTGAATTTTGAGGTGCTGCTAGCGTAAAAAATAATTAAGTTTTCAAATGAATGAGATCATCCTATGAATCAACCCTTGTAAAGCAAGCAAGTAGCCTGTAGCTTGGACTTTTTCTGTTTCCCTGAACAAAAATTATAAATTTAAACGACTTGAAAACTTTTTTCTGCGTGTATTAAAATGTTTAATAACGGAATATTTTACCTTTTCATTATGTCGGAAGAGTGAATATCATCTAATTAATCAATGAATGACAGAATAAATTTTTCAAATATTTCAACCGAAAAATACTGTTAAGATTGTAACATTAATCGCGCCCAGACAATTGACCCAAAGACCATTTAGATTATTTGAAACACAGCCAAAATGTACAGAAAACTCATCTAAAAAGAGTCTGTTTTGACGGAATATTTATGCTCCATGCCAATATCGACTTTTTAACGAGACATTTTTAAGCAAAAAGTTTTCATTTTATCTGAAAAGTATTTGAATTTAGCTCAAATTGAAAAAGATACTTCCCCTGTGTTTTTTTTCTAAGTTATTGGTTTTAAAGGTTGCTAATTTGGGGCAATAAATGCGCGATAAATTTTGCGCAGCAATTTAATCCGGCTTAGGAATCGTTCCAAATTGACTTGAGGCATGCTATTTTTTCAAACGCCAGTATATGATTAATATATCACTGTTAACTTTAAAAGCGTGCGGGCGTTTTTCAAAAAATATATATATTCTTTTTTTTTTTTCAATTAAATTTCCGTTTTCAATTTCTTTTTGAAATTTTCATTATGTATTTTTTTAATTAAACATATCTCCCTAGACATTAAAGAGCAGTCGTCGCCACTTTCAGGGTTTCTCTTGATGCAATTAATCTTGTTAAGAGTCGATGAACGTAGTTCAGACTCCCATATAGGTCGCGATGATTTTTAAAAAAAATTTTCAGGATCTAATTCAATTCTATGGGTTTGACTTTCAGTTTATTTTTAAGTTGAGTGCATTTCCTTTCTTTACATTAGCAAAACTTGTGTGATAGTATGAAATCTCTTGTTTTCCAACCTAAGTCGCAAATATTAGTGTTCATTTTGAAAGTGTTCATTTTGATCAATAACCAGCTATTAAGTACATCCAATGCTAAGGATATTAACACTGAGTATTATATTAGAAATAACCATTGAGCTTCAAGGTATCATGGATCTGTAGCGTATAGTTAGGAAAGGTGACCCGCAACAAAATAATAGGGTTCGAACCTGGGCAGGGTCGGATGTTTTTAAAGAACTTTTTTGTTTACTAGTTAACATGCGTCCGCTCTTTTAAATTGAGGCATGTAAATTGGTAAATTACTTTTTTTCTTCAAATTGATTGCTGATGCGTCATAATTGGCTTGGCACTTATGTAGACTCGTAATTGGCGTGCGTCACTTGCAAAATTTTGTATACTTAAAGTTTTATTCATTCAGTTTTTTCCACTAGCGTTTTCGGTCTTATTTTTGCTTGTCTATGCGAAGTGCAACTTCGCCTCTGTGTAAAAGAAAACAAACTCCACAATCAAACAGTCAAACTAAAAAAGTCGAGAAAAACGTAATCGACTTCTAGTTTCGAAAGTGGAATTTATTTTTCAGATTTCCCAGTGAAAAAAATTACCTTTTGACCGAGTTTTCTCAATTTGGATCAATTATTAATTGTTCTAGAAACTCGAAGAGCTTCAGGGGCATCCTTTTTTCTTTGAAACTCTGTTTAACTGCGTTCATTGACTCTTTTACAACTGTCTGTTGGATATTTTTCATGTTTAAATTTACAGGATATAAGAAATTTTCACCACTGAGATCTGGCTATTTGTGGCATGTTGAATTAACTGAATAAATAATCCCGGAAAACAAAGCTTTTTTTTGGCTGCCAGTGACTCGTTCTCACTTCAGTTGCGTTCAATTGTAGTTAGTTGCATCCAGTTTTGACTAATCAGAATAATGGTTTTACAAAATTGCAGCATAGGGCGTTGTATACTGCTTAATTTTTCTCTCATTCATTGTTTGAGCTAGGTTTCAGCTAATAAGATAATGCGAATCTTGTCCCTGGGTGATGTTAACTACCTCTGATTCATGATGTTAATGCTAAAGGATGTTTTTTGTCCAGCATGTATTCCTTCCCCTGCAGCTGGTAACGTGTTGACTTTCGACTCCAGAAATACTAGATCGAGTTCTGATTGATTTTCGACTCCACCAGCGGGAGGCACAAAAGGTAATCCACTACGCCTTTGTTTCAATGGTAGATGCTCCATTTCGGATTCGAACGATCCTACCCAATTTACTTGTCCAGTGTAAACCCAGGTCAAAGTCGTGTAAGGATTGCCTTGGCTTTCCTGGATCTATCTAAGAGTCCAGTGCTTGTTTTCAAAGATTGGTGCTGGGAACGTTTTTTAGGCGAAAATTAAAATCGGCAAATGACTAAAAACCTGGTTGAAAATTAAAAAAATTGGACTAGACCAAGCTCACATAAGGAGGTAGCCAGCAGGAATTTTTTTAAATCTGGAAATTTCTTCTGACATCCGGGGCCCAAAGCAAAACACTATCCTGATTAACTTGCTACCCAGCAGGGCGAGAAGTCACTATAAAAGAAGAATCAGCCTCACTAGAAGCCAATGGCGCAAATCATCGCCGGCGCGGAGGTTGAGACATCTAACCTAGCGGATTATGATTGAATTCAGTGAACTAGTTCGTTATTTGCACCTAGCATAGTGGTAAGACACTTAGTGGTAAAGCGTTCACTTCGTGATTGTCAGATCGTGTAATCGATCACCTGATATGGCAGTGAAAGTCTGTAAGGACGCGCTCTAACTTGACTCTAGCTTCAGGTCTACCACAGCCTGACGGCTGCAATAGTGGTACCACGTGAAAGTTCTAGACGCTAAAATAAAAGACCGTGAGTCGCAAAAAAAGAGCTTCACTCAACCAAATAACGGTCTGGAATATGGTAAAAAATAGAAGCGGACTATGCTTAGAGTGGCTGCAAGGCCTTTCATAGATATTTGCGAATTGCAGAAACGCCAATTATTTTTAATTAATTATTTTTTATTCTTAACTTAGCCAACACTGGAAGAAAAACTCGAACTAACTTTTGACAAAATGAAGCCATTACTTATGGGTTTTATGATAAAAAAAACACTGCAAAAGCTCGAAGCGTTGCATCAAAGACTCCGGTCCGCCGTGGGACAAAAACGTAAAATCAGTTGCCAGTGACATATGAGCTCAGATTTCTACAAAATGCCAAAAAGCACACAATATGAACAAAAAAGAGCAATTAAGGGCAAGGTGGGACACGCAACACTTCAACTTCTATAAGAAACCGTTTGGTGCAATTTACAAAACAGATCAGGGATCATTAAGCAATGAATCGTTGGAATGATTTTTATCCATCAGGAAAAATACGAAAACTACTGAGAAAAATTACCGCGATGAGTGGATAAGGTACCCTGGAAAACCTTAGACTTCGTGCCTATAACTTAAAGGCTCCAGGGAAATCCGGGAGAGTTCCTGGAAGGAGCCGTCTAGGGACCCTGGCAGGAATTCAAAAATTTTAAAATAATTTTAATCTAAGATAAACTTCTCTTATCCTTTGGTGGTTCATCTTAGCAGTGAGAAAACAACTCTATTGTTTTTGTAAGACATTAACAAAAAGTTGGACAACCAGGTCTGGATGTAGGTTTGAGAAGTGTTTTTCAGCCAATTTTTCTGCGCCGCAGGTAAAATTTTGAAAAAACAGGCCGAAATAGGCGTTTTTAGGCACTTTCTGGAAAATATTGACCAAAAAATAAGTATATATTGGCGCAAAAGGCGCCTTTGGAAAGTTTTTAAGGTCCGTAACCAAAAATGGATATCTCAAAATAGTACAAAGGGGGAGCCACAGTTTACAATAGTCAAAGTTCTGTATATTCCAATAAATGCACCCACCGATGAAATTTTTGGGTTGAAAACTCGTTTTCCATGATTTGAGCGCCGTCAAAAATTTTAATGTCATCATCTTGTACGTTTCGGCTCGTGTGTTACGTCTAAATTCGTTTTGGCATCATCCTCTTGCCGGGCTTGATATCGATAAAGGTTTTGGCGATAACTCCGATTTGAAACCTCTATCTCCAGTCTTTCCGAAGGGTAGACAGATCTACCGACGATCGACTCAAAAAACATCCAACCCATAATATTCTAATCTGACCGCACCACGTAGATTTGGTGTTAAACCAAATTTTTTAAGATACAATAAAAACAGAAAAGTGAACTTCGGAAGCATCAACGCCAGCACGCTTAATGGCAGGGCTGGTAAATTGTTATTTTCGAAAACAAACTAACAGTTAACTACTAAAAAAAACATGTTATTTATGTTAAATTGTTAAATAGTTCAACACATTAAGAAGCATTTAGCTTCTTTAAGAGAAATGCCAATTTTCCAACTTTCTCAACGCCAAGTTGGGCTCTGAATTTCCCATGCGTAAATGCAGCGTTGAAGAGTTCGATAATTAACCAAAAATCTTGAACTGAAAAAATTCAGCGCTCATTACACAAGCAAAGCTTGTGTTATAGTATGAACTCTCTCTTCTTTTCCAACCTAAGTCGCAAATATTGTTGCGACGCAAATATGGTTGCAACCAAATGTGTTCATTTTGATCAATAACCAGCAATTAAGTACAGCCAATGCTAAGGATATTAACACAGACTATTATATTACAAATAGCACTTTAGCTTCAAATTATCATGGATCTGTACCGTAGAGGTAGGTTAGGCAAGCAGCAACAAAATAAAAGGGTTCGTCAGGGTCGGATGTTTTAAATGAACTTTTTCGTATACTAGTTAAATTGTGTTCGCTCTATAAATTGAGGCATGTTAGTTGGTAAATGTCTTTTGTTTTCAAATTTACTGCCAATGGGTCATAATTGGCTTGCCTCACTTAGCAACTAAGT